TTAGTGACTGTCTAAAGTTGTGTATACCTCACTAGTTACTGTCTAAGGTTATGAATATCTCATTTGTTACTGTCTAAGGTTGTGAATACCGTCATTAGTTACTGTTTAAGGTTGTGAATAGGTCACTAGTTACTGTCTAAAGTTGTGAATACGTCACTAGTTACTGTCTAAAGTTGTGAATACATCACTAGTTACTGTCTATGGTTGTGAATACATCACTAGTTACTGTCTATGGTTGTGAATACATCACTTGTTACTGTCTGTTGTGAATTCATCACTAGTTATGTCTAAGGTTGTGAATACATCATTAATTATGTCTAAGATTGTGAATACCATCAGTAGTTATTATCTAAAGCTTTGCATACCGTCATTATTTACTGTCTAAAGTTGTGTATACTTCACTAGTTACTGTCTAAGATTGTGAATACCGTCATTAGTTACTGTTTAAGGTTGTGAATACGTCACTTGTTACTGTCTAAAGTTGTGAATACGTCATTAGTTACTGTCTAAAGTTATGAATAAACCAGTAGTTACTGTCTAAAGTTGTGAATACTGTACTTGTTGCTGTATAAAGCTATATATACGTCATTAGTTACTGCCTAAGTTTGTGAATACATCTGTAGTTAGTGTCTAAAGTTGTGAATACCTTACTTGTTACTGTATAAAGCTATATATACGTCATAAGTTACTGTCTAAGTTTGTGAATACATCTATAGTTGGTGTCTAAAGTTGTAAATACGTCACTAGTTACTGTCTAAAGTTGTAAATACGTCACTAGTTACTGTCTAAAGTTGTGAATACGTCACTAGTTACTGTCTAAGGTTGTGAATACGTCACTTGTTACTGTCTAAGGTTGTGAATACGTCACTAGTTATTGTCTAAGGTTGTGAATACGTCACTAGTTACTGTCCAAGGTTGTTAATACATTACTAGTTACTGTATATGGTTGTGAATACATCTCTAGTTACTGTCTGTTGTTGTGAATAAATCACTAGTTATGTCTAAGGTTGTGAATACATCATTAGTTATGTCTAAGGTTGTGAATACGTCACTTGTTACTGTCTAAGGTTGTGAATACCGTCCTTAGTTACTGTCTAAAATTGTGTCTACCTCACTAGTTACTGTCTAAGGTTGTGAATACCGTCATTAGTTACTGTTTAAGGTTGTGAATACGTCACTTGTTACTGTCTAAAGTTGTGAATACCTCACTAGTTACTGTCTAAAGTTGTGAATGCGTCATTAGTTACTGTCTAAAGTTAGGAATGAACCAGTAGTTACTGTCTAAAGCTAGGAATGAACCAGCAGTTACTGTCTAAAGTTGCGAATACCTTACTTGTTACTGTATAAAGCTATATATACCTGACTAGTTACTGTCTTAGTTTGTGAATACATTTATAGTTAGTGTCTAAAGTTGTGAATACGTCACTAGTTACTGTCTAAAGTTGTGAATACGTCACTAGTTACTGTCTAAGGTTGTGAATACGTCACTTGTTACTGTCTAAGGTTGTGAATACCGTTATTATTTACTGTCTGAAGTTGTGTATACCTTACTAGTTACTGTCTAAGGTTGTGAATACCGTCATTAGTTACAGTCTGAAGTTGTGTATACCGTCATTCGTTACTGTCTGAGTTTGTGAATACCATCAGTAGTTATTATCTAAAGTTTTTCATACCGTCATTAGTTCCTGTCTAAAGTTATGTATACCTCACTTGTTACTGCCTAAGGTTGTAAATATCTCACTAGTTACTGTCTAAGGTTGTAAGTACCTCACTTGTTACTGTCTAAAGTTGTGAATACGTCACTAGTTATTGTCTAAGGTTGTGAATACGTCACTAGTTACTGTCTATGGTTGTGAATACATCACTTGTTACTGTCTAAAGTTGTAAATACGTCACTAGTTACTGTCTAAGGTTGTGAATACGTCACTAGTTATTGTCTAAGGTTGTGAATACATCTCTAGTTACTGTCTGTTGTTGTGAATACATCACTAGTTACTGTCTATGGTTGTGAATACATCACTTGTTACTGTTTAAAGTTGTAAATACGTCACTAGTTACTGTCTAAGGTTGTGAATACGTCACTAGTTATTGTCTAAGGTTGTGAATACATCTCTAGTTACTGTCTGTTGTTGTGAATACATCACTAGTTATGTCTAAGGTTGTGGATAAATAATTAGTTATGTCTAAGGTTGTGAATACCGTCATTAGTTACTGTTTAAGGTTGTGAATACGTCACTTGTTACTGTCTAAAGTTGTGAATATCTCACTAGTTTCTGTCTAAAGTTGTGAATACGTCATTAGTTACTGTCTAAAGTTAGGAATGAACCAGTAGTTACTGTCTAAAGTTGTGAATACCTTACTTGTTACTGTATAAAGCTATATATACCTGCATAGTTACTGACCAAGTTTGTGAATACATCTATAGTTACGGTATAAAGCTACATATACCTCACTAGTTACTGTCTAAGTTTGTGAATACATCTATAGTTAGTGTCTAAAGTTCTTTAGACAGTAACTAATGACGTATTCACAACTTTAGACAGTAACTAGTGACGTATTACTTGTGAATACCTTACTTGTTACTGTATAAAGCTATATATACCTGCATAGTTACTGGCCAAGTTTGTGAATACATCTATAGTTACGGTATAAAGCTACATATACCTCACTAGTTACTGTCTAAGTTTGTGAATACATCTATAGTTAGTGTCTAAAGTTGTGAATACGTCACTAGTTACTGTCTAAAGTTGTGAATACGTTATTAGTTACTGTCTAAAGTTGTGAATACCTTACTTGTTACTGTATAAAGCTATATATACCTGCATAGTTACTGGCCAAGTTTGTGAATACATCTATAGTTACTGTATAAAGCTATATATACCTGCATAGTTACTGGCCAAGTTTGTGAATACATCTATAGTTACTGTATAAAGCTATATATACCTGCATAGTTACTGACCAAGTTTGTGAATACATCTATAGTTACGGTATAAAGCTACATATACCTCACTAGTTACTGTCTAAGTTTGTGAATACATCTATAGTTACTGTATAAAGTTGTGAATACCTCACTAGTTACTGTCTAAAGTTGTGAATACGTCATTAGTTACTGTATAAAGTTGTGAATAAACCAGTAGTTACTGTCTAAAGTTGTGAATAAACCAGTAGTTACTGTCTAAAGTTGTGAATACCTTACTTGTTACTGTATAAAGTTATATATACCTGACTAGTTACTGGCCAAGTTTGTGAATACATCTATAGTTACTGTCTATGGTTGAGAATACATCACTTGTTACTGTCTATGGCTGTGAAAACATCACTTGTTACTGTCTAAGGTTGTGAATACCTCACTTGTTACTGTCTAAGGTTGTGAACACCGTCATTAGTTACTGTTTAAGGTTGTGAATACATCACTTGTTACTGTCTATGGTTGTGAATACATCATTAGTTATGTCTAAGGTTGTGAATACCGTGCTAGTTACTGTCTAAACTTAAAATAAATCTAAACTTGAGCTTCCGTCCATTTTTTTTAAAACTGATTTCAAATTCTGTTTCTACGTGAATACTGGCTGACGGATAATTTAAAACATGTAAATTAACGAATTCCAGAAAATATGGTATGTTTATATGCGGCCTCTACTGGGGTGGAGAAAAACATTTATTTCAATATTCTAAAGAATGGTACAAACGGTAAACTCAATAATTGTTAGTTATAAATATTATGTGCTTTAGCTATTATTCTTTCTGTATGAAACATCGAGAAAATTTGAAGTTTTTGTTTTTGAGTTGATATGTTTAGCTTCATTCCGGACAGTCCTTCGGTACTCATGTTAATTTTAAGTTTTAATTATTTAGCAACACACCAGTAAATTGTGTATGTAATATCTTTGAATATTTATATTGACATGTATATAACACCAAAGAGGCTGATGCTGGATATAGAGTATGCTTCACACACACTTTAAAAAACATTATCACAAAAATATTTGTTATAGCTCAATCTTCTCTGAAACTGCGACGAATGTGTGTTCTGAATATGAAAATACAGTAAGGAAAATATGAAAAATATTTTAGATTTATTGGTCATTATATATATATTCTAATTAGATGTAATCAAAGGTGACACACAAGTTTAGATGTAATCAAAGGTGACACACAAGTTTAGATGTAATCAAATGTGACACACAAGTTTACATGTAATCAAAGGTGACACACAAGTTTACATGTAATCAAATGTGACACACAAGTTTAGATGTAATCAAAGGTGACACACAAGTTTAGATGTAATCAAAGGTGACACACAAGTTTAGATGTAATCAAATGTGACAAACAAGTTATTTTCAAAGATAATTTGTGTTCAGAAACAGAAATTTTGGTGAAAAATTACTGACCTGTTAAGTTACACAATCGTTCCGTCTATGTAAACCACATGAAGCAGAAGTTCTTATAGACATTACCTGTAAAAGTGATGATAGCTCGTGTGGAAGTTATTGTCGGATTATCCACAACCCTACATAATCCTGCCCTTTGCCAACGCCTGTTTCTTAAGCTGAATTACCGGACAAACTGTCTTCAACGTAAGAGTTATGTCCATTTTCCATCTACAGGTAGTCTTTTGTAGGATTATTGATTGCAGTTTGAGAGACCGTTGGTTTATTAGAGCAGACTTTGAAAATACGACGTCAGAAAGGACTGGGAACCTAGATACAGAGTGATGCATTCAGTTAGGGTTAGGCTGAAAGGACTTGAAACCTAGATACAGAATGATGCATACATTCAGAGTTTGTCTGAAAGTACTCGAAACCTACATACAGAACTATGCATACAGTTAAGGTTCGTCTGAAAGGACTGGGAACCTAGATACAGAGTGATGCATTCAGTTAGGGTTCGTCTGAAAGGACTTGAAACCTAGATACAGAATGATGCATACATTCAGAGTTTGTCTGAAAGCACTCGAAACCTACATACAGAACTATGCATACAGTTAAGGTTCGTCTGAAAGGACTTGAAACCTAGATACAGAATGATGCATACATTCAGAGTTTGTCTGAAAGCACTCGAAACCTACATACAGAACTATGCATACAGTTAAGGTTCGTCTGAAAGGACTTGAAACCTAGATAAAGATTGATAGATAAAGCTAGAGTTCAACCAGAAGGGGTTAAGGGTGCGACAGAATGTTTTGAAACATGTGGCGTTAGATGACACGTGGTTATTTTAAATTTCAATCATCAGGTGTTACCTAAATACGGAAATTGTTGTTGTTTGAAGTTAAACATAAAGCTACACAATGGGCTATCTGTGCTCTGCCCACCACGGGAATCGAAACCCGGTTTCTAGCGTTGTAAGTCAGAAGTCATACCGCTGTGCCATTGAGGGCAAATACGGATATAAGTAAATTTAAACTTTTACAATGGACAGAATAAGCTACATTTCAGGAATAAAGACTCCGCATTACTAGGTATCGGTGAAATATAATAGCATTCTTATATTCAAATCGTTTATAAGATTTCAGTGCGAAAAGAGGCTTACTGAATTGGTACATAAATTTAGGGAAAATATAAAAATTGTTCAGTTTAACTATAACTTATCTATGAAACCTCCAGCAAGCTTGTAAATGAGACCAGTGGGATATCCGATAAAACACTGTATCGTGTGTTTTGTGATGTGTCTACTATGGATTACTGTAAATTTTATGTTCATTGGCAGTCCGTATTGTGTTTTATAATGTGTCTATTATGGATTAATGTAAATGTTAGGTTCATTGGTTCCTATTGTGGACTTATGAAATTTCTAATGTGGTTTGATTTAAATATTATGTTCATAAGTGCGTATTGTGTACTTATAAAGTGTCCATTATGGATTAATGTAAATTTTATGTTCATTGGCAGTACGTATTGTGTCTTATAATGTGTCTATTATGGATTAATGTAAATAGTATATTCATCAACTTGTTATCCTATGTGCGTAAACAAAACTTTCATTGTTTTTCTTCCAATTTATTTTCCAAAATTGTTGCTTTTCTAGAAATAACACACATAATTTATTTGCAAAGATTTCCATACACAGAAGCCATCGAGCTGAGAAATGTTTACAGTTAACTTATAGTACAATCTAGATAGCCGTGATGCTATAAATTGAAAACCACGTGTACCATGTGTACGTTGTTTACGATGGATGTTTTTAATTGGCCACACTTTTATTACAGGAAAACCCACAAACTTAGTTTACAGCTAAGAATGTAAACTTATTCAACAATCTTCAGATGGTTTTAAACTAAACATGACACTTATCAGAGCAGTACAAATTTGGCAGATATTAAGATAGAGAGACTGCAGTAAAATCCGCTGGAGAGACAAAATAAAATGGGGTAAAAACAATCCTAAAATAAAATAGAGTTGGAGGATGGGGTCTCCGTTTTCCTGGCAGCATCAAAGCGCCAAGGAATCAAAATTAAAAAAAGGGGGAATGTTTCTTAATTTCATGCCGTAGTTCACAAGTATCCACGCACATTATCACTAAATTGTATTTTATTTATGTTTTTAAATGTGTTATACGAGTACTACAGTAGTGGTCGCGCGAACAAACAAATTAAATTAACGTTTCAGTAAGGTTATGGTAGCAATAAATGTATTTTGTTAGGTATAATAACCGGTTGATTATTATCAAGATAATGTTAACTGAAGACCATGTTAACTTTCATGATTTTGTATTACTTTCTTCGCATTCATACAAGGCTGTCATAATCTATACATGATCTTTTTAACCACAATAGACATAATAAAGAACATGTACTCATAAACCACATTAGGCAAGAAGTAAGTGAATATATGTCTGAACAACAAGGGTTCTCCCCCACCAGCCTTCACGTGACTCAGTTGTAAGTTTCAATACTTCAGACGCTAAAATCTGGGTTTCCATACCCGTGGTGGGCATAGAACATGTAGCCCATTGTATAGCTTTGGGCTTAACAATAAGCAAACAGATCTTCCCACCAACTTTCACAACTAATGTAATTATTCGTACGTATTAATATAGCATAAACTACTGATCGCATACCAACACTTGCTTAATGCATATTTCCATCTCACCAATAACTATCATTTCAACATTTACCTGGCATGCATTGTTTTACATATAACCAACTGCTGTAAACCAAGCTATTAAAGTCTGCCAGATGATTCCGCTTTTATGGCTGTTTGTATGTATGTTTTCGTAGAAACACACAAGTTTACATTTGGTCACATAAAGGAGAAGAGCATTTTTGAATTCAGCTTCAAGTCTTGTATATTTTTATAATAAAAATCCCAACGAATCCAAGGCTGAAATTTTGCAAACTTGTATTTTCATCATTTAGAGCTCTCCAAAATAGAATTTCTTAACGTTTTCTCACGCAGTAAAAACGACTGTTTGTGGTACCTTGTAGTGTAATGACGATCTAGGTATTTTGTAGACGGGAAAATTTAACCAGTTACTGCGACGACCGTTTGGATAAATGCGATTCTTCATTCCATCGTGGAGTATTGCTTCGAGTGAATTTTATAATTTTGCCCCTATGGTTATAAAGCAGATGCTAGCGTTGGAAAAGTTAATTTTTGCAACTTAAGAAACTAATATAGAAATTATGTTTGTTAAATCTTGCCGGATATTTTCAAGATAAATCAATTAGGCCTAAAATGTTTAAAGCAAACACTCTCTGTCAGGTAGCCGCACAACACTGAGGAAGATCAATTAGTTAAGATGTCGCAATAAGTTATTTTATTTTTAACGATTTTTTTTTCAAATTCACGCGTAGTGTAGCAATGTCGTCCGTTTAACATACGGATTAGGGTGAATAATGGAGGACTAAGTCGAAGATTTGAGCATTTCACTGTTTTATAACTAAAAGTAAAACAACAGTACATAAAAAAAACCATAATTATATTTATTATGACTTTCAAATATTATTAAGTTACCAAATGTCATGACTTACGAATCTTGTACGTATTGTTGGCGGGAGTAGTCAGTGCTGCCAGATTTGTAGTGTTTATAGTCCAAAGTGGATGAACCGTTGTTAAATAAAACCAAGTTTATAAAGTAATGGAAACCTTGCGTAAGCAAAGACATCTAGAGTTAATCCGAAGAAAAAATCTACATAAGCCTCAGCACAAATTTTAACCATAAAATGTACATATATTTTATATGCAGAATTTATTTCTGTTCATCAACCAGACTTTCCAAAATATACTTGGCGCCATCTATCAACGAATTTCTAACATCGGGCATTCATACCTTTGGTTAAGATATTCACAGTAACGTTTCAGTATATAAATGTTGTCATTTTGATTCTCCAACCTTTTTCAAAAGTTTTAAAAATATTCGCTTATCATTTATATTTGACAAAAGTGTCTAAGTTCATTTCTAACTTGAAAAAAGCTGTTTTTATCGTGTTCAAATAATATCTTAAAAATGGTTTATCTGGTAAAGTTTGACGATGGAGGCAGCCTCGAAAACATTATAAATTTACTTTAAAATACTTTTTATAAGGTAACTGTGGGATTTTTTATATAAAACGTACAAACGAAGCCAACTGATCAAGTAAGTATTAGTTATGACAAAATTACTTGATATTCTTAAATGCTAAGGTCTACTGTGTTTTAAATTTATCGTTTTTTCCTTAACGGGATTTTGCATTTTTTTAACAGATAAGTGCATCTTAGTTTACATAATTTATTTAATTTCTAGGGCTATCAGTTAAGGATAATATGAACTTAATAAAAGGACTTGTATTGATATTCGACTCCACGTGGTAGACAAAGAATAAATAGCCTACGTTGTAGCTTTACGTTAAAACAAGATCTACACGGAAAAAAGAAAGAAAAAAAAAACATGTCCAAATGGGGAATATATTTGTTTAGATAAATTTAATGTCTGTATAAACTTAACGAGAAAAAACATGTTGAAAAAACTATTAAAGAATGCTGTTGAGAAAGAAAAAAAGTACAAAACAAACCACTATTTATTTTTATCAAATGCAAAATCATGACAGTTAACTTGGTGAATATGCTCCCAGCTTATTCGATGTACACCTTCCGATTCTG